AACATTCCTTCTAGCCTTCACTTTTTTGTACCTCCTCTTCCACCACCAAGATTCCTTTTTGGTGTGGAGCAAAGCCCTTGGACTCTCCTAATACCTCTTTTGCTACTTTTCGGATACAACTAGCCATGGAATCCCACCTTTGGCTAGCTTCCCCCTCTCTATCCCACACACACTGGGTGATTACTTTCTCTTTTTGAAAATGGCTTGTTTTTCTCCTTTTAAAATTCTACCATCTAGTCCTTGGGGCACTTCCAAGTCTTGTTCTTTTTTCTCACTCTTTTGATATGTACATCCATCACCAACAAGCGATGTTGATTAGCCAAGCTCTCTGCCGGTATAACTTTGCAATCCTTACAAGTTATACGATCCCCTTTCCTCATTAGAAGAAAATCTATTTGTGTTTTTGACGACCCACTCTTGTAGGTGATCACATGTTCTTCTCTCTTCTTAAAGAAGGTGTTGGCTAAGAAGAGATCATATGCCATTGCAAAATCCAAGATAGCTTCCCCATCCTCGTTTCTCTCCCCAAAACCATGGCCACCATGAAAACCTCCATAGTTGCCTGTCTCCCTGCCCACGTGTCCATTTAAATCTCCTCCTATAAATAACTTCTCCGTCTGGGCAATTCCTTGCACCAAGTCTCCAAGGTCTTCCCAAAATTTCTCCTTCGAACTCGTATCCAACCCTACTTGAGGTGCGTACGCACTAATCACATTGATGAGTTCTTGTCCTATTGCAATCTTGATTGCCATGATTGTATCTCCTACCCTCTTGACATCTACAACATCTTGTGTCAAGGTCTTGTCCACAATGATGCCAACACCGTTTCTCGTTCTATTTGTGCCCGAATACCAAAGTTTAAACCCTGAGTTTTCTAGAAGGAAGGATTTAATGGAAGGATTTAATGGAAGGATTTAAAATTATGACTAGAATTTGAACATAAAGATACAGTAGATACAATGTATTTGAACATTGAATTGACTAAATACGACGTATACTTTTGAATCATAGTTACATTGACGCATTGAAAGTCACCTACTTATTCTTTTTCATCCTGTATCTGAAAAAAATATGTATCCATTACTTACATTTCATTCAAGAAATTTAACTATTTATCTAAAATTTGATGATTTGAGATCTCACTTGAATTCAAGCACATGATTGTTCATTTAGTAGCTTGATGCTTGAATTTGAGCTTCCTGCTAAGAATGATTATCAAGCCGAGCCTGCTTAAATTTACATGTTAAAACTCTCTTAAGCATTTGTGTGCAATTGATGTTTTTGTTAGGTGAAACGCGGATTATGTATGAAGTAATTGCTTTGTGAAAATCAGTATTATTGTTTGCATATTTCAATGCTTTGGTACGCAAAAGGTCCTTAATCTTCGACTTATCTAATTACTATAGTAATTCTCATAATCAATGTCGTTAGAGTGGAATACAGGGGATCCTTCGGTTGACAACTCTTGCTTCAAGTTTTTTGTATGGTGTCTTTATGTTTAGTTTTGCAGTACTTTTTGTGCTGCCAAATGTGCAAACGTAGATATATGCGATCTTTTACCAGCCTTGGAATCTAGTTGTACTTGATGCTATGCTTTTGACGTGGGCTAATTCTCCGAAGTGATATTAACGATTGATATTTCAAAATTCTTGCGGTATGTGGTTATCCATTGAGCGCGGCATATTGTATCACGATGATTTGCCAGGCGTTGGCTGGAAAGTGGACTGTTTTGTGAACAATGTTTTAGTGAGAATCTCAATGCTTGCATGCTCATTGGTTTAGAGGGTTCTTCAAAGTTTTGTGCATCCGGAGTTGTACGATGTCTGTCTATTACTTGGTCAAATTTTGTGACGGTTGTGTTACAAAATCTTATACTTTAATCGCTATTTGATTCGTATTTGTTGGTCATTATATGACAAAGACGGTCCTTTTTTCCTAGGCAAAGGCAAAACTCTCGTTGTAGCTTGGCATGATTGCAACTGTCGAGTCTTTTGAATGGAGCGCTGTCGCATGAGAGCAGAGCATACTGCCGTAGTTGCGACTGTGTCATAGCTCTTCGGTTCAAATCATCTAGAGAACAAATTGTCTTAATCTGTAAAAACAAATCTCTACGGGTATCCAAGGCATCGACATTGTGCCACCAATTGTTATAATCCGATAGCGCAATTCTATTCAACTCGACCGGAAAACCAAAACAGAATTACTTCACACTCAGACTAGTACAACACTAGGCTGCAGTAACACGAAAATACTGCTGATTCGATAAATGACCCAAAGAAAATAGTTTTAAGGTGTCATTCAAGCACAAAGTAGAATAAAACAAACATCCACGAAAATCCCCCTTGGTATTCAAACAGAAACAATTAAACAAAACTGCTACTATCTCGTAATACAAAATGCCATCTGCTCTTAACATCCATTCATTTAAGATTGATTAGAGCTAGCGGGGCCTGCACCAAAACCACCAGCTCCGCGACCAAAGCCAGGTCTTCCACCGGGCCCCTGAAAATACAAACGCAACAAGAAAGATGAGTTAGGAGGTTTTCATATGATGCGCTTTAACACGGACACATAACAAGGAGAAAACACAGATGCATACTATCTAAACCGATGCTTAACAAGTCCTCGGTACAAATCTCAATGGTATCAGATAAAAAATGGCTTTAAAATTCCTGAGTATAAAATTTTCAGTTGACATACAAGTGAAATTGACCCCCTATCCGACAAATGGTAAACACAAACAGAACCTGGGAGTTTAAATATGAAACAGATTATTCGCAGCAGAAAAATTACCCCAAAAGAAGGTCTATAATCAGCAGGAGCTCCACCCTTGTCCCCAAAGTCACCCCCAGGGGCACGAGGTCCTCCACGGTACCCATCCCTGTCACCACCGAATCTGCGTTCTCCATCAAAGCGAGATGGGCCACTGTTCACAACATCACCAAACCAAAAATTATATTCCAACCAAACAAAGCACTCAACAAATGGACCATAAAAGGAAGCACAAATCTGTCAGTGCATTGGCAGAATAAAAAACAAAGATATAAATGTGTGTGATTCGGTTACAATTAACTTCTTCATACACGGCCAATATTAGATCAACTCGTGAACTTACTAGTTCAACCCAGGTCAAATAATTATACTTCAATAGTCCATTAACTCATTTCATTCAATTCCCGTTTATTGCAGACACTCCAAACCCAATACAAGCAGTGTATCAATCTTATCAATCAAACTAACAACATCCAATCCGAATTAAACAAACATAACAAATTATCAGCAATACAAAGAAAAACCCAATTTGTATAAGCATTTAAGAATTAAAACAAGCCGAACTTCATAAACAACGAGAAGTGCATCAAAACTTATCAATCAAACTAACAAATTCTGATACAAATTAAACAATAATAAATTATCAGCAATACAAAGGAAAACCAAATTTGTATAAGCATTTAAGAATTAAAACAAACCGAACTTCAGAAACAACGAGAAGTGCATCAAATCTTGTCAATCAAACTAACAAATTCCGATACGAATTAAAGAAACATAACAAATGATCAGCAAAACAAAGAAACATAAATTTGTATAAGAATTTAAGGATTAAAACAAGCCGAATAGCATAAAACAACGAGAAGAGCTCGAACAAAAAGAATTACCGGGGGCGGTCACCGGACGGGCCCATGGGGCGGCCAGGAGGCTTGGCCTGCTTCTTCAGAGTAGCAGGAACAATCTCCGAAGGGAGATTGAGGTAAGTCCTCAAAAACTCGATACCGTCATTGGTGAGGTACCAGTAGTAGTGCATCCAAGCAAACGTCTCCCTCACATACTCCTTGGACTTGAAGCTCTGCATCAGCTTAATCACCTGCAGATTCGGCACATCGATATCCGGGTGCTTCGCCAAGTTATAGTCCTTCTTCGCGTAGCAAACTCCCTCTTGGAACAGATACTTCGAGATCTCCCGGCGATTCTTCTCCGAAATGATCTGCAGATACGATACAAGAAATTTAACTTTCTTTTATTTTCAGTTTCTCGGGAAACAAACAGAAAATAAGGAGAGGGAATTGGAGGGAGAATTACCATGGTTGCGGTTGCGAAGAGGCGGCGGCGACTGAGGAAGAGGAAGAGACGGCGGCAAACAACTGATCTTTTACGAGGCTGCGCGCTGTGAAGTAAAACCCTAGAGAGAAGCAACTTTGTTTATAGGAGAGGAGAAGGCGGCATTCTCTCTCTCTTCTTGCGGGGTTCTAAATTACGTTTTCGACCTTGAAACTTAATTCTTGAAATATTCGCAGAAATGTTAAGGCTAATTTGATATTGATGAACTTAAAAAAAAAAAAAAATTGTTTTTGTTATAATGTGATAATAAATAGTTGTAAAATAAAGTTGTTAAGTGTTTGGTAATATATTTTTTTGAAAAAGTGTTTTTAATAAAATAAAAAAAAAACAGTGACTGAGTGTTTAGTAAACTTTTATACGAAATTGCAATGAATATTTTAGAGTATTTCCAAAAGAGATGTTAAAATATTCAAATCAGCAATAACAATGAAAAAAGACAATTGCAATGTTTTCCAACCGAAAAGCCAAATATGATGTGGCAACATGGAATAGCAGCTCTCCCCCATGTTGTCAAATTTGACAGCAGTTTCAAATATTTTTAATTAATTTTTAAATGTTATTTTATTAATTTTTTATCAGATTTGCAACTCTCATCTCTCACTTGAACCTGAGAAGCATGCTCGTCCTTCTTCTTCCCTTTTCTCAAAACCAAACCCAGAAACTAACCACACGATCTCAACTTAAAACCCAAATGTAAGACTCCATTTTTGCATTGTTGCTCAAACAAGAGCTCTCGACTCCTAGCTGCAATGCCTTGGCTACGATTTGAGGAAGATCGTCGCCGACGGATTGCAATCCCTCGGCTACAATTCCTCCACCTGCAAATCAAAATGGGAGAAGTCGTCGTCTTTCCTTGTCGGTAATTTAAAATCCCACACTTTCTAAGCATCCAAGCAGATTTTATAAAAAATTGAAATTAAAAGGTTAGAAAAAATTTGGTTGTGGCCTTTGGATTTTAGGTGAGTTCAAGTTTATCGATGTGATGGTAGAGGACAATAGGTTGTTGATGGAGAAGAGAAGCAGGTATACAAAGATTCAAAAAATAGAGAACGAAGATGATAGAGAAGTCTAGAAAGAAGGGGCATAAAATAATAGTTTAATAAAATAAAAAGAAACGAAAATAGTGTAATAAAATAATATTTAATTTGACATACCGGGTGGAGAGCAAAATTTTGAAAGATGTCAAAATGCCACATAGGCTGTCAAATTTAAATTTTATGTTTAAAATTTGACATCTCCTTTGGAGATGCTCTTAAATGACTAAAAATATGGTATTGAATGTGATATAATAATTGCCAAAGAGAGTAATGTAGGGGTGCTATTGTAATTTTCAAAAATATGCGGGGTATTTGCCATTTGAAAATTTTATTAAGGGGTGTATTATTCACACACCCTATTTTACTTCTCACACACCCTTTGTTAATTTTTTTTCCTTTGATGTTCTTCAATACATCAGATCTAATGGCCGAAAAATAGAAGGGTGTGTAAGAAGTAAAAATGGGTGTGTGGACAACACATCCCTTTTATTAAATGGGCACTGTTCATTATACTTTGAAAAAAAAAAAACTTTTTTGAGAAGCATGGTAAAGCTGCTTCTGCTTTTCTATTGCCATTGACAGTAACTTAAAAAAAAAAAACTTTTTTTGTTCTACCAAACACATTTGATGTTCTAGGTTTTTTAAGAAGCTATTTTTTATAAAGCACCATAACCCCAAACCAGCATTTTGTCTTTTAGCCAATTTTCGTTACTACTTTCGTCTAAATATCACTTAAAAAAAAAAACATGTGATAATTTGTTAAGCAGCACAATCTAAGTTTAAAAGATGATGATATCATATGCTTCACATGTGCGCAATTTAGGTGAAAACACTAATAAAATTGGCTAAAGGAGCAAATGCTCCATAGTAAATCAAATTCAACATAACTTGATTCACCTTTAGAGTCTCTCCAATGAGCTCCTAAATAGAATATAAAGATGATTAAAAAAAAATTCAACTTCAATCATGCTCCCTATCCACCTCATGAGTTGGAATTCATCTAAGAGATCCTAAATACATGGAGGGAGAAATGAGTTCGTAATGGTTCTCTATAATTAATTTAATATTATTTTAAATGAACAAATAATTTTTATTGACTCATAGTCATTATGACTTTTTAAAGCATGTAGTATGGTTGAAGCAAAACTTTTTAAAGAGCTCTTAAAATAACATTTTTGTTGTAAGCATAATTTACTAAACAATTATGGAAGTCATATAGAGAGAAAGGGTGCGGCATAGAGAGAGAAGATAGAGATTTGTAATTGTGGGTGTATGTTATTCCACCTCATTGTTCCTTTATTTATAGTAGTAAGGAATGTTAATTCCTTACCCTTTAGGATTACAACATTTAATAGGTAATCTATTCCTAATAGGAATATAAGATACATTCCCATATCTACTAGGATTTACACAATCACATTCCTAATTTAATAGGATTGCAACACTCCCCCTTAAGTGTGTAAATATTTAAACAGATGGTGCATCAGGTCTTCAGCAATGAAGTAAGTACAGTTGATGAAGTCGTCGACACAATGAGCGAATGCGAGTCTCAGATCAACGGAAGAATGCATAAAAAGGTAAAACTCATAAAACCTTGTTATGGTAAAACCCAAGGTGGGAGAAAAACCCATAGTCTAAGGAGAAAAGTAATAAGTTGCATTAAGTCAAAACTATACGTCTTTTGGACGCAAGTAGAAGAGCTCACAAGGGTATGATCAACCCAGGATGGTTGCCTTGTTAACACTGTTGGAAGTATGCCCACAAAGCCACTCATTTGATGTAATAGCTTTTGGTATACTTATTGTATTAAACTTTTATATGTTTAATGAAGGGCAAAGCTTATTGTTAATCACTATTTATTGTATCATGTGTTTAAGCAATAAAGGAATCCAATGAATGTATTTGATCTAAGAGATAAGTGATTTAAGTAAGTTAGATTAACGAGACCTTTCTCTTATGTTCATTCCTAAAACGTTCCTAGCCATAGGATTGCCAATTGGGTATTGACAATCCGCTAAGGTTAGTATGTGTTATGTTGACTCAAGCGTGAGTATGACAAGTCTCAAATCATTTAGTGTTGGACACTAAGACAAACACATAGGTGCTCGAAAGAGTAATTGAGTACACTGAACAACGATCAAAAGAGAGTTCAAACATACATGTCATGTAAGAACTCGATAGTTGCAATATGCAAAGTAGTCCTTTGACCTGAGGCATCATAGATGTTTCATGGTTAGGTCCTTGATCTTTGATCATGTTAAATGGCATTCCATTGGAGTGTCCACGGCATTGTTGCGATCAAGCTATCTAGTCATGTAGGCATATGAATACACAACAAGGGATTTCTAACCTTCTATGGTGGAAGGAGAATACTCTAAGATATGATTCGGGAGTCTTTGGCCAAAGCATATGAATATGACTTAGGAAATTTGTTCCAAATCATATTCAATCGAATCATATAGAGAAGTATCACATTGGATAGTAGACATGAAACAAACTATCACTCAAACAATGTGATTAAGAGTATTGTATTAGAGAATGACCGTATTGCATTGTAGTTGTAACTGGATAGGTTCTCCAACCACTTCTACTTAGCTTGGGTAACCATGATATGTTGCTAGGTGTCACTCATGGTTTGTGGAAGCCTTGAAGATTAGCCAACACTAATCAAAGGGATAATTGAAATGTTGTTTCAATTCACAATCGATCGTTAAGAGTAACAATCGCCCACTGCCTCGCTAATTGGAACCTAATGGATCGTACACCGAGTAAGGGTGAAAGTGAAGAAATATAAATGAGATGGATAAGCAATTAAATGGTTTTAATTGAGAATGGTCAAGATTAATTAATTAGTTAATTAATTTTACGAAAGGTTCGTATTGGGCTTTTAAGTTGGTTTTGGGCTTCGGGGCTCAAAAGCGTTTTGGTCCACAAGGCCCATTATGTTTAAGTTGTATGACAACTAAAACAAAATGGGCAATTAGCCCAATAACAAAGGTAAGGCAGGCCATAAGGGTGAGGGTAGCAAACTTGGATTAATTACAAGTTTGCCACTCACTTGAAATGAAGTATAAAATCAACTTTATAGCTTTATTTCTCATTAGGATTTTTCTTGGTGAAATGAGGTGAAACACTTTCTCTCATTTTCTCTAAAGAGGCCGGCCACTTAGAGGGGAATTAGCTAGCAATCTTTTCTTCTCTAAGTCATCCATTTCATCTTCACATTTCATCCTTGGTGTGAAGACTTAGAGACATCAAGCTTTTGATGTTTTTGGAGAACTAATCCTCAAATCCTCAAAGAAGCAAAGGAGCACTAAAAGGAGGAAAATCACAAGGAAGATCCAAGGAACAAGAAGGTGACTTGAAGGCCCTCCACTTGGGTGAATCCCTTGTGTAATCAAGGATGAGCTTCAAGGGTAAAGAAACTCTAAATCTTTCCTTCTCTTTAATGTTGTTAAAGAGTTTATTGGTTCACCATATACTAGGCTTTGAAAGTCATGGGTTTTATGAATTGTTTTTTAATGCATGCCTACTTGTTAATAGTTTGCATATGTATTCAAATGTTCTTACTTGTTCTTAGCTAGGACAAAATTTTTCCTTCAAACACCTAGTTAGATAGCAAAAACCCAGTGGGAAAAATACTCATAATCGTAGGAAAAAATAGTACATTAAGATCAAGTGAGTATACTTCTGGATACTCCCCCTGAGTTTGACATAACTTTCAAATGAGAACTACAAGCATTGCATATCAATAGTTAGGCATACCATTCCTCAAACAAGCTTTTGGAAGGTTGACTTCGGCAGTGACGTCATGTAGAGGTCGGCAAGGTTATCTGGGATCGGCTTGCATGACTTCAATCTCCTGATGCTTTGCTGATGTAGATGTGGACGCAATATGTTTTGGTGTTGACTTTGTTGATGTATCATGGCTTGGTTGGGTTGATACATGCGGCATAGTCTTCATGTATCGTTGTTGGGACTCAATGATGGATGAAAAACACAGCAAGTACTTCGAATATGCTCAACAAGAACTCCTAACCATGTATCACTTGTGGCATAGTGAAGTAAGGTGAGTTTTTGAACAATTCAAAGATG